TGTATGATTGAACAGTGTCTCTGACATTTGATTATCTTAACGCACGTCGGAATCTATCAAACTTTGTGGAAAGCTTCTGTTTGTTTCACTGTATCCTGTCACAACTCGTTGGTAATGACCATCACGATTGCTCTTTGAAGGCATGCTGATTGTGCCTGAGCGGACTATCCAGGTTATTGACCACTGGTTAATTGATTAAAATATGCTACAATAGAATCTTTTTGCTTTCTGTTCACTCTCGGCTATGGTTCGTGTCAAAGGAAATGAAAAATTCTAGCTCCTAGGACTGTTTTCCTCATAACGGTTTATGTTCCATCGTGCTCTGATTTGCAAACCATTCATTGATTTCTCTCAATACCCATCCAGGATTAAGGATCTTCCGCAGTAAGGGCATGGTATATCTGGTGGCATGTATGATTAATCTTTTGCATGCTATCTGGCTTGCTATTCCATCAGTCGTTTCGCCTGCATAATTATCCATGATTTGTCGGCTGCATTCATTTCACAGGGTATCCGCCAGTTCAGGGTATAAAAACCCTGACCAGGGCACCCGATCATATAAGCCACGTTAGGTTTCCTGGACGAGAACCTCATGGTCATTGGAACCAATGGTTAGAGACACTTAATGATATAGCTGAGAGTCGTAAGCAGTGGTGTTCGTGCATCTTTTTAATTTCTTCGCAACCTTAGTCCTCTAAAATTCCGCATTATCTCTTCAATTCTACTTCAATTTTCCTGTCTCTCTCCAACTGCTTCATCCAAATAGGCAGTTAAAGGACAGCAACAAAAACAGGCGCACGAAAGTGCATCGGTAACGGTTGTACAAACTGAACTAAATTTTTTTCACCGAGTAGTTGTATCTCCTAGTTTGTTCCACCTGATTTCTGTACATCGTTGATCAAACTGAATCTCCGAATGCACTGCATTAATTCTTTCATGAATCTTACTCGTCTTCATGTAAGAGTAATTCCCATCTAGGATTTTTCAAACAGAAATTGATTGTAAATATAGAATCATTTACGGTGGATCTACCTTGTTGGTTATGCGCCTAAAATCTATAAATAATAGATTTTGACAATAATTGATGATATTCCACAACTTTTGTGGGGAAAAACGACTGAAGTTCAACCAAGCGGTATCTAGAGGGATTTTTGTTGAATGGTTCCATTTCAAGCGTCAATGAGCGGTTGCGAATTGACTGTTACGGGAAGATTACGGTCCAAAGGTTTTTAATAGTGTACCGCAACTGATTTCGTCGGGCACTCAGTATCAAAACTTCCGCCGGGTTTTATGTAATAGAATTTCTTAAAATAGCTTAAAAGTAGCACTTGAGGAAGAAGCATCTTTGCTGTAATGACTGCAAAACGGAAATAGTTTTGTGCAGTGATAGAGAAACGTTCATTGGATAGTTACTTAGCTACTTGGTTACTGAGCTGCTCTCAGCGTCGCATGATCCGTGAAATATATTGAAGTGAAATTGGGTTTCACGATATATTCTTAACCTCCTCGTAGACACACTGTTCCGCCAAAGAAAAATCACATCATACATCACTATGATAAAAACGTAACAGAGCCAATGATTTTTTTCGCTTATTTCTAATCAAGCTGCTACGAACCAAATAATGTGTTGAGCATTTACTGGCTTGGTCCTAAGGGCGATAATGGTGGCAGTGGTGTGCATATGCGAGGGAGGAAGGGCGAAAGAACTAACTTTACTGTGTCCCCATTGCAGTGCTCAAATTTTGATTTGAGATATCTTTTAAACTGTCCAGTCTTTCTCTAGATGTGTCTCAAAGAAGTATTTGCAGGTTTTCTTGCTGACTGGTTTCGCTTCACCACTCAATTTATTTCACTTTTTAAAAGTAAGGTAAACACTGTTCAGGTTTATGTTAGAACCTCGTAAACAGAAAATGAACTATATCTTCAATGAAAATTAAACTTATGCCTAATCCCCACATTAAGCCCTCAGCCTTTTAGCTAGATCGTTGTTCGGTAATTCCTTGCCAACACCGGTTTCATAGTTGAAATATTTGAGATGCGAACTCAATATGCATTCATAAATTATTGGAATAGTTTCGATACAATTGCCTACGCCTTCTCTCATACGTTCTTTCAATCGACGTCCTTTAATTTCATTGATCTGTTTTGTCCTTGACCGTTGTGGTCAATCAGAGATCGACCAATGCATATCGATACAAAATGAGTTTGTTTTAGTTGGTAGTCAGGTGGCCTTCGATCGCTGGTGAAATTATATACGATGCATGCACCTTGTTATATGCGAAGTAGTGCGGCATTGCTTTTGCGTTTGGATCTCATTACCCATGGTTTTCTGTTCGTGCTGGTGATTTCTTAATATTCGCGTCCAATGCATTCTGCAACGCGCCTCTTTTCCGGTCCATTCCCGCTGACCTATGCTACATTTTTTCCTTGGATTACACCAGAAAAGAACTCGGAACAAATTGAATACCAAGGCACAGAAGCGCATCATAGTCCAGTGTCCAATGGTGGTCGTTATGAGGATTTCGAGACGATCGATTGGGTGAAAGATATCGCCAGGGATCGTTGTAGACATCGAGATCTACATGCGAAACGTGTATGTAATTTTTATGTAAATGTTACACCATTTCGTCTTCATTTCCGGTTTTAGTGCTTGTGTAAAGTTCTTGGCTATCAATTAATTGTTCGTCGGTATCTCATCTAACAGTCACACCAGCACCTGGTTATGACAGAACTTTGTAAGAATGTCTCTTAGATCAGAATTCACTGCTAAACAGAATTACGCTGGCATACATACATAACTGTCCTCTCGACGATGGAGGTTTTTTGCTCTATTCTGTTACACCACTGAATACAGCAAAAGGGTTAACCCTCCTTATCGAATGCTTTACTGTACTTGGGAGGGTGAAGGTAACATTCATGCAAGAACCATCTTTTTGTTTCTAATTTTAAAATTAAGGATCTTTAAAGTTGGAGGGAAAATTCGAAAGCGAAGAGTGTACCACATTTTTGCCGTTCTTGGGGATAAGTTGTTTGAAAGTTAGAGGTGTGACACCTAGGGGTAATCGCTTGAAGTGGACGAGTAGCTGTTTGTGTACGAACCCCACAAGGAAGAACAAATATGAGAGGGATTGAATAAGCAAGTTCGATAGATCAAGAACCAAGATACCACTGGTAGGATAAGGATAAGGAAGTTAATACTCCACGGTAAGCTAGTGTTAAGAGCGGATCGTTCACGAGGCGAATGACCCTACATTGAACCCGACCAAGAAGCGGAAGAGAGGTGGACGAAACTCCACTGCACACCTGACTGCAGTATTCAAGCGTAGGAGAATCTGAACTCTGTAAAGTGAGAGGTACGTGGAAGTCAAAAAAATGCCTGACGATCTTACAGTGCGAGAGTCAATTAAGTAAACACAGGTTACGATAACAGAGAAGATGAGCATAGTCTCACAAGCACTAACGATTTCACCTCGGCTGGTGATGAAACATTACCAAACAAATTTCCAAGCTCGGCTAACAGGCGGAATGGGATGGAAAATGCTTGAGCTTAATGTCCATGTGGGGTAAGAGGATCAACGGTTAGACGTAATGGATATAGGTGAGGTTTAAATGCCATTAACGATAGCACGATTGCCACAGTAAGACCAAGATCTGAATTGAGGGATACACTGCGGGAGAAGAATTTCACTGCTACTTCTGGAGTTCGTGCAGCGAGAAGAAAAGTAGCACAAAGAAGATTGTAGATAAGAGTCATCAACGAAAGCATGAATAGGATTGGAAGTCGAAAAATGTCGTTAATGAATGCAAGAAAAAGTGTAGAGGAAATTACTGGTCCAACATTTTCACTCGCAAAACTATTCATGGTCCCGTTTACGCGGACGGAGATGATGCGATCGTAGCCTAACTTCCTGTCCAGGACACAATTTCAGAGGGAGATCCGAACTTGGATAGTTTAACCGGCAGGCGTGTGCAATCCAATGCTTTCAATATATCCAGTGACACTGAAATGGCTTCTTAATGGTTGTCAAGTGCTGCTGATCATGTGTATGAAATATGCATCAGATGATCACCGATGATTTGTGGGACCGGAAGTCGTGTTGAAAGTCGCTGAGTAGCTTATTCTGTTCCAGATGACTGCGTAGTTACTGTTGTTATGTTTCACTCGTATCTGAGTCCAGACTATGTGTCCAACAAATTACGGTACGACAGCCCTTATATAAAATAATTCACTCCGTGAGCTACGCATGAGACTGCCTGGTTATCCATGCCATAACTGATCGATTTTCTTTAAGCATTCACAACCGGAGCCTTCGGTTATTCGACGCCTGACCTGCGGTACATGAAAACTGCAGTCTATTTTGGAGTCGATGTCCGGTCAGTCGACCCTTCGGCTGGGGTCAAATATCTAAGGTGCCCATTTCACATCGGTTCACAATCAAGCCGATGACCCCTATCAGAACCACGAAGGTGTGGGCGTATACCTGTTCTTAGTTGGTTCTATGTCAGGTTTTTTTAAGTAACTGCCCCAGGTGAACTGCCAGTGGTTGACCAACTCGGTTATAGCTCCGGGATGTTGGCTTTTCGTCCTCCCACATTCGTGGGTTAACACCTCGGCCAATTGAAGGCAGTGAGTGGTGCAGCCATTCTCTAGAACAGTCCGGTAGGTTTGGCGAAAAACTGGAATAAATGCATACCTTATCAAAGGACTTCGGAGGATTTAGAAGGATATATATATATCACACTTGTCTGAGGACAGAGTGTGCCAAGCTAATTATGGTACAATAATCTTTATAAACAAGAAAAACGTTCCATGATTGGTTTGTGGGCTGCCCAGGCCAAGGCAGATGAATTTTCTTGGGGAATCCACAACCGGAGCCTTTCGCTAGCCAAAGCCTGACTCGCAAGGCAGCGGGGCGGTGTGAGAACCGCAGTCTATTGGGAGCCGGTGTCCAGTTCATCGAATCATACGCCCTTCGGACGTGGTCAAACGTCCAAGGTGCCCAATACACCTCAATGCCCAGTCGAACCGGTGACCGCTGCCACAACTAAAAAGGTGTGGGTGTGGTTCGTACGCCTCCTCTTGGTCGGTTTGGAATCAAGGTTTTTTTTGCCAACTCCCCTAGGTGAACTACCAGTGGTCCACCAACCCGATTATAGCCCCCGATGTCGGCTTTTCCTCCTCTCACTTTGGTGGGAAAACACCACCGCGAGAAGGCAGTGAGTAGGGCTTCCTCAGCAGAAGCTGTTTGAGAGGCTTGATCGTATGGGAGCATTTCGTGAGGTGCAAGGGAATGGTGATCAGGCGCAACCCACCCGCGACCATACTGAGGCTTTCGGAGGCATCGGTGGAGAAACAACGGCTGTTCCACGGATTAGAAGTCGGAAAGTTGCGTGACTTGTGCTAATCAGTGGAGCCGTATCGTCCGCTTATGAGAGGAGTGAAACGTTTAAAGCACGTAGAAAATGAATTAAGACCACAGTATACAAATCATGATCAAAAGTTTCAATCTCATAGTCCGGATCTTGCAGGTGGTACGATTTAAGGGAGAATTGGATGGAAACAGTTGAATGGAGCAATTAGTGAACAAACCAACTGGGGAGATAAACTGGAGTCGGCTGTTGTCTGTAGTCGAAGAAAGTTGGTTTTTGAATCACAATACCGTAAGAGTGAGCTGGAAAAAATTGGTGTACATAATCAGTTTTGCTGTTCTAGCCGCGAATGTTAATGAGGGCAGATTTCTAGTAACTGGAGTTATAATCTTGTTTGTGTTTTCCATAGTGAAATAAAAGAGAGAGCAATAATCCTTACCTTGGTCTTGGAATTTCGAGTGATGAGTCACTTGCGCTTCCGACAGACAGGCGGGAGAACCGACTGGGACGATGATCGAGCCGTCTATCACCGCTACTGCACAGATGACGTTCACCAAAGCTAGATTGCCCCCCCCCTATTAGGAATTGCACCGCCGCGTTCCACCTCCCTCGGTGGCTAAAAGCTGATCTTGAACCTTTTGCACAT